CCTCCAAGATCCTTATAACATTGAGCTCAGCATGTCTGAGGGTGACAGGGATCAACTACAGAGACGTGCCATAGCCATGGCCCGTGTACTACTTGCTTCCCCTACCATTATCGATGTTGACTTGGCCTATAAACCTGAGAAGGTGGCAGAGGTACAGGTAAGATGTATAGACGTACAGGTTTTAGTTTAACCTTAGCTGTAAGTTTTTAAAGAATCTTGATACAGATTGTAAACTGTATCGCGAAAATTTTGATTTTCTCTCGAGAACTATTAACAGACTTATCATTTATTTTATCATATGAATTTCACTTGTAAACAACAGAATAGAATATGCTAGTTGGTTCGAATGGTTGTTGACTCGAAGGTTCATTAGTAAAATAAGACAACCTTCGAAACAACGAACAATGTGACGGAATAGTTTATGAATAAAGGGCTTATGAAACATGAATCTGACAAAGCATGAATAATAATTAGATTATTCATGTGCCGTCGGACAATACTTTATTTGTAAAGTAAGATGTCTGTTTATACATTTACAAGATGTCTGTTTATACATTTACAAGATGTCTGTTTATACATTTACAAGATGTCTGTTTATACATTTACAAGATGTCTGTTTATACATTTACAAGATGTCTGTTTATACATTTACAAGACGTCTGTTTATATATTTACAAGATGTCTGTTTATACGTTTACAGAATGATGTCAATGAAAAGTATCAACGAGTGATGCAGTCCCTCGACCGGTGGGTTAACAGTATATATCAGTACCTGCAACAACAAGCTCAGCAACAAGGTAGTCACTTCCCTAACCCCGAGATCCTCAAGTTGATGAACGAAGCCAAACTTGACCTTCAACAAATATATGATGGTCTGATTTATGGTCAAGTTATCCCTCGGTATGATTCTTTCCGTGAACTCCTCCAGGTAGTCAGCGAAGTGCTGTCAAACGTGGTCAACATGCAGAGAGATCTTCAACATCGCCTTCTTCGCGAAATTATTGCCCTGAAAGAGGAATTTATTGATGCTATCAACTTATTTACTAATAGTAAGGCTTTGAACGTTTACTGTATCTTTGTTTTTTATCCTTCAACTTCTATTTTCTCTAAATTGTGAGTTAATCATTACCACTTAAACTGGTAATATTAAAATTGTGAACCTTGCCTCCACAGCAGTCGCACAAACTTCACACTGGATGGAGAGCGGCGAGATGCCACAGCCAGTGCGTCGCCTGATGGAACAACTGGAACAAACGAGGATCTTCAGGATGATAATGATGGAAATGGACGCCATGAGGGAGCAGTACCAGGAGGAGTACGAGGCCATCAAACAGGTGGTGGCCAAGGTGAAGCACACACTCCAACAAGATATTCGCAAGAATTTCGAGAAGGCCAAGCAAAACCCAGTTATTGAGAGGACCGTTCAATGGATCAAGAGCGACCTCAGGGATGTAAGTAGACCTGCATGTTGTTATTACTTTCTGTGACTTTGTTCTTAGGATTATAACGAAAGTGGATTTCTGTATCCTGACCTTGCTGATCGTATCTCATGAGAGAAAATATCGTTGTGGATTTGGAAAACTTAAATTGGTCGGCTTCACAAGATCATCTAGAAACATTAACCTCAATAATCATTGTTATGCGATATCTGAATTTTTAATTACAGTGTCTACAAAAATTTAAATATGAATTAAAATATATTACAACAACAATAACATAACATTAAGATTTATAGTAAAAACTCACCATTTAACTGCATAAATTAACTAATAAACACACACCTGAATGAGGACCATCTAACACCAACGGCAAGATGTGCTGGGCTTTACCTTCACTTTATGAAGCGAGGCCCTACAACACAAACACAAATCCCAAAACAAACAGACCAGACCACTGACATTACTCAGGATTAATATACGTTCCTACCTTGTTCTTGAATAGAAACAGAATACAGCTATATACCTTCTTCTGTACTACAAAACTGTGCACTAACTCCTTTCATAGATAACGTCTTTGTAGAGTAATACTTCTTCAGCAGGTAGATAATGTTATGTAAACTGTCCAGTACTTTCCAAAACACATAAAACATGACGAATAAATGAATGAGAATGTAAATATCTCTGGTGTATGTGTCACCTTTTTATCATCGTATACAGTTGCTGCACTTTGGTCTAAACTACAGATATCTGTCTAACGTATTATTGAGAGGCTTCATTTCAATCGCAGGGTAAAAACTGTATCAAATTTGTGAGGTCATTATTATAAATTAATGTAGTTACCCCTGAAACTTTTATCGTTTTCCTTAATCCCCCCAAATTCTGTTACCGCGGCAATATTTACTTTTTCGCAGTTTGAACCAAAGTTTATCACGAGAACCTTGTCATATGTTGGACAAACACATCAAACTTGGTGAAAATCCACAATTGCGCTCTCAATTTATTCTGGGGACAGACAAACAGATAGGTAAAACTCTTATAGTATGATCCCTTCCTTCAGTGCAAGAAATATATATAAATTACAACACCGAATATCATTGTGATCAGATATATGAATGTATGCTGTTTATGAATTAAATATACTGTATAGTATAAAAGTTCTTACAAATTAATTTTGTTCTTTCTTGCCTACAGCCTTGGGAAGTGGTCATGAGGTTGTCACAAAATGTCTCCCGAGTTATTCAAGAAGCGATACTTGTTTCTCTCGAGATGAGAGAACATGAAATCTTACTCCAAATTCCACTCTATAGACCCGTTTACTCTTTGACTCAAGTCCTGCAGGAGATGAAACTAACCCCAGTCTATCTTCTTGAAAAACTGGCCATGGTTTATGACAGCTTCCTCCCCATCCCTGTCAACAACTTGATGTGGGCGTACTACTCGATGATGCCCCGTCAACTGACAGACATGCTGCCCCCTTATAACCGCACAGCCATGGTTGTGGGTGACACAGAGATCCTCACCTTTGACGGCGCTGTGCTCCGTGTACCTCGTTCACCGTGTAAGGTGGTGCTGGCTGCCTACGCCTCCAACAAGCTTACCATGGCCCATCCACAACCCTCAGCCCCACCACAGATCACCTTATCTACTCGCGCAACTACTGTCACCATTAAGCCGGACTTCCGTGTTGACGTCGGCGGACAAGAGATGAGCAGCTCACAACAAACTCAGGGTGATGCCACCATTCAGAAGACGCCCCGTGAAGTTAATATGACGTCACCCTTCATAACAGTCCGAGTGTTCCGTGAAGAACGTGTGGTATCAGTGAACGTGTCTGGCTGGACCTTCGGCCGCCTGGCGGGTCTCCTGGGTACTTACGATGGTGAAGTGGGAAATGATTGGCTGATGCCTTCTGGTATCAGGGCTCCAAGTCTCCAGGAGTTGGTGTCATCATGGCAGGAGGACCAACACTGCCCAACACCCCCCATCTCTCCCGTCAACCCTGCCAACACATCACTACAAAAGATGATTCAGTGTCATGCACTACTGGGAGTTCGGTCCAGGTGCTACCCACTGGTTCATCCGGAGCCCTTCATCAAAATGTGCTACGGCGCCCGCCAGCCTTGGGACGCTGCAGAAGGCTACCGCGCCATCTGCTCCAGGAAAGGTGTTGAGCTTATGATGCCCCTTGTCAAATAAGAACCACACTAGAGATGTATAAATTATTGACGCAGAACAACGACTTAACTCATACATGGAACTGGACCTGGATCTTATTAATTCACTGTAAAATTATCCAGTTAAAACATGAAACTAGATTTGTCATATTTATGTGATCGATGACAGTGTAAAAATGTAAACAATAAAGCATCATTCAAAACTGTAAATAAACAAATGTTACTTACCGTATGATCCACCAAAGACAAAATTCACTTCATCTACATTAAAGAAGAACACTAAACCAATAGACACTAAATATAATTAAACCAGCAGAAAAAAAATTAAACTGAAATATTTCGTAAGGCAAATATATTAGAGACAATTTTCAAGTGATGATGTTACACACTAATTTTTATTAACTTAAAATATTTAAAATATAAATATGAATTTTTTGAAAAATCTTGTAAGTGTACAATATACCTGTAGTGAACAACAACTTGTTCAGTTTTGAGTGACTTCCTTCACCTCTATAGTGATTCTTAAGATTAGTCTGTGTTCATACTCAGCTCAAGTCGTCAGAGGAGGCCGCTTTATGCATTAATATCGTCATAATGTAATGTCTTGTGTAGCATTTTTTTTTATAGATACCACACTAATTTATTTACGTGTATTTTTAAGCCCAATAAATGACACATACACACACACACACACACACACACACATATATATATATATATATATATATATATATATATATATATATATATATATATATATATATATATATATATATATATATATATATATATATATATATATATATATATATATATATATATATATATATATGCTGATAACCACAAGGAAAGAAAAACACGAAGTTCCCTTGTGGTATACCTAGATCACCGCACCTACAGTGATTTACTTGCATATATATATATATATATATATATATATATATATATATATATATATATATATATATATATATATATATATATATATACATATATAACAGGACATTGAAAAGCTAAGAAGCTAAGAAACTTTGTCTGGATGACCTACAGATGAGAGATAATGAGGCTCGCTGACAGATTTTATTCATTTATTTTTTATCGTACGTTTCAAGAGTTGCCTGTGACTTGTTAGGTAAACATTACGCACGCGCCCTCCAATACTCATGAATGAAGGAGCTTTCTCATCCCTCATTTACTTAGTTTTTAGCGCAATTAAGACTTACTGGAAAAATGGATTACTAAAATTACTCTATTTCTGATAAAATGAAATAGAATTTATATCTAATCATCTGTCGCATAAAATGACTCAATCAGCTCAGGAAATGTTCATACGTCTGGCCGCGAAGGCACAAAGCTGCTCTGTGATGTCATACGGCAGACGCCAACATGTGTAGGGGATTCCGCTCCCCTCCAAGTAAACAAACCGAACTTAGACGTGAAGGTGAACTTGACCATCCTAGCTCACTCCGGGCTTTGCTTACTACCATGGTACTTGTGAAACTCTTAGATCATGAATTCGTGGTCATGGAAAGACACCAAGTTGAGTCGTAATGTGTGTTAAGAAATTGTTTTTTGTACTGCATTGGAGCGACATTAGTTGTAAGTATACAGATGGCCATTAGGTGTATTTTTAATGTAAACAGGAAATGTGTGTGTGCGTGTGTGTGTGTGTGTCGAGGGGGTGGTAATGAAACAACAAAAGTTTTCAGCAAACGTACTATATATTGTATAATCATTTAGGTCCTCGACATATTAATGAATAATCCCACTCACATTCTGTCTTGGGATTTCTTGTAAACAACAGTACGTAACAATACGATGTGTGTTCATATTCTTGTGATGTTCAATACTTTTAGGCACACCAGACACTGTCTAAACAAGAGCGTAGTATATGAACACGTCTTATATTGTATCTATTTGCCATTGTATTTATTTCTGTTTTTTAATATTTGTTCTCTGTGTGTACTGACGCAGGAATCTCGCTACCTTATCACTGGTATATGTGGGTATTAGTGTATATGTGTATGATTTAGTGTATTTGAGTGTATATTTAGTTTTTAATGTGTGCATTGTATAGTTTGTGTGTTTTCATTAAAGTTTTTTTTTAATTTACACTAGATTGAGATAAGTATTTAAAAGCAATAACTTCTCTGTATTTATTTTTAAACTTCTGATTGACCATAGATGATAAGTTAAGTCATCATAATACATATAAATGAATCGTTTCATCTAAAACCTAACTTTACCAAAGCTTACCTAACCTATATTTGGTATTTAGCTCTGTTATGATGGTAAATTACTTTTTAAATGAAAAAAAATCCTTAATTGGCTAACACGTCAATTGGTTTTTAAAGAATAAATCGGCGATTATCCTTATTTAGTATAACACACACACACACACACACACAGCTCTACTAGTGGCAGTATTATTCTCCGTCAGTCAGTGGTGGACAGACATAAACGGTAAACCTGCCAACACGACAAGTTTAATTTTCTTTAGTTGAATTTGGTTGATCACTCAGGCTCCGTCAACGGTTAATAGGTGGGTGAATGAGACAGGATGAAATCATATCAACAGCTGATGGCTCACTTATCTTTTAAAGCCACGATAATACCGATAATGGTATTTAACTTAGAGTATAAAACTATAATGTGTCGTGAGTGAGGTTCATCTACTGATGCATTTGTTTTGATATGTAGTGACGCCTTACATGAAGAATCCCCCTCCCCCACACCTGATACCACTTGATCATTAAACACCCTAACGCTACCTTGGGGTTTGGTTAGTCTGAGTTAGGTAAGATTACAGTGGCATTATTGTTCGTCTTACGGTGTAACAAACTGGGAGGGTAATCTTCAGGTGATGAGTAGTTTCTTCTGGGAGGTAACAAGGTGTCCTATAAGTTAATAGTTAATAAGGACACAGTGTTCTAGTCTTGACGAAGGTGTTCCTACTGAAGATGCCCATACCCACCAACACTGATGATACTGTATTATGTTACTTAAAGAGACCGTAGGTACATAAGTTGACTATTTGATAATGACGATAACAGTGACGGCGACAATGATGATGGCAACGACAACTACGACTCCTCCCTTCCCCGGCGAACCGAAGACAGCGCTTTGACTTATTTACAATAGAAACACAACTATAACGTAATAACCCAAGTCAGACACAAACTTATAGAATCATCCTAATATATAATCACCTCTGTATCAGACCATTGTCCTATGTCGATACTTTCATCAGATCAAATTTCCAAACCAAAGGATCATTAATCCTCTAGAAACTATTGTCTTTAGAGCTCGAATTGATCACAAACAATAAACCTGTCACACTATATTCATAATTCTTGTAATAATTAACCACTACAAGACAGTATTTGAGAATTTGTTTTTACTCACAAATAACCATCGGAGGGAGATTAGCTACAGCCAGCCATCCCAAACATTGAAGGTGTGAACATTGTGTCAGGCAGTGGATCATTACGAGGAATATTCCAAAAGAACACCCATAAGCTGTTGCGTCACCAGGGATGTAATTACCACAAACAATTCCTGGAGCAATTCCTTCACGTAGGACTTAGCTGTCAATTAGCTCGGAGGTCTCACAGTTCACGACCATACATCCCCAGGTACTGTCTCTTATGTCATTTCGATCTTGACAATACATGACCAAATTCACACCCAAAACATTTAAACCAATATCCAAGTTAAGAGGTTTTTTTCTTGTCTACCTGTTATCATTACCTTTCTTCCATGTGTGTAGGGAGGATGAAGAGAAACAACACAATCTAGAAAATGAGGAAGTAAAAAGGTACTGATGAGAGGAAGGTGTAGAGAGCGACAGGTAAAGGCTGAATTAATAAGTAGGAACATCCCCCCCCCCCTTACCTGTACACGTTCTTCCTTACAGCCTCAGGTTACGTCTTTGATCTCTATATTAATCAAAGCACTTCTTGTCAAATGACTCTACTTACTAAGTTGAAAATGTCTCGATATTAGTTGAAATTATGACCATATGGTTTATGGAATAAATTACAAGGCAGAAATGAAAAAAAAAATAGTGGGGCACGTGTAGGGAAAGTTGGTTTTGTAGGCCTTACAGAGCTCGTTAGGAACAGTGCAGACACAACACACTCTAGAGACTAGACTCAACCTTCTTTTCGGGCTGCACTGCACTCGACCGCCTTCACTTCCACGACTGTACAGTTAAGTATCCAATTATAGCTGGGTGTACCGAGGGATCCTCGGGCTCGAAGCAGCGACCCTTAGGACAAGAGGAGAATGCTGTGTCCACTCGGCCACCACACCCCATATAATACAGTATAATACCTCTAAAGGAAGAGATGAGGAGGCCGTGTGGATAAAGGACTCGCCTCCTGTCCTAAGGGTCGCTGGTCCACGCCACACTGCCTCTGTACACAAGGATTATTCAGTAGGTAGTGTTCAGTGTGCTGTATCTACAGTGTCCAAAGCGAGTCATCAGATTTATTGGTGAATACACCTTTAAAAGATGTGATGTGATGAGCCTTATCGTTCTTACAACCTTTCTTGTTGATCACAGTCCTTCTGGTAAGCGCTCACATTATCACATCATCAACAACAACAAAATATACTTGTGTTACAGATCATCTTTTATACTCACTAACTTATCCAACTGCTTAACTTTACAGCTTCAAAAAATTTCAGGGTTTAAAAAATTTGAAGTCGTTCAAGGAAGAACATGAAGTGCGCAGTGAGTTAGCAAAGTCGATTGCCGATGGAGAAAAGTCTTTTAGACTTGCCGTTCAGCTTATGGCGCCGTGAACCGTGAACGGGTAGTCCCCATTAGAGGTTCACGGCGCCATAAGTTCGTTGAACAGGCTTTGTGTGAAATATAACAGTCTAGGACTGCTTTTAGTATCCTGGTGGTCTAGAGGTAGCGTTCCCCGGTCACAGTCGTGGGCCGTGGGTTCGAATCCTGGCGGGGTGAGGTGTTGATTATATGTAGAAGACCGTGTGCTTTATTGGGCTAATGAAATATATATGGATCCTCGTGTTTCGAAGCCGGACTTGGTAAAACGTTACTCTGACCACCCTCCTCCCCACCGGAATATCAACAAGTTCTCGCCAGAAGTTACAATTTCATTTAGGAAAGGAAAGGAACCAGTGTTAAACAGAGGTGAACAGTGGTGTACAGTGCTTAAGTCAGTGAGAACAACTCAACAGTAACAGTCGTACCCATGTTAACCTTCACACAGTGAGGTCCCAGGTACCCAGTGATAACGGCCCGTGAGACCCAACAACAACAAGAGATGTGTTAATCCGTCTAAGATAGGAAGGCCTAAGACCACACCTCACTCATATAACAACATCTGTGAGGGAATTACTACACCACGTCAAGTCCCTCATCACACCATCTGTGAGGGAATTACTACACCACGTCAAGTCCCTCATCACACCATCTGTGAGGAAATTACTACACCACTTCAAGTCCCTCATCACACCGTCTGTGAGGGAATTACTACACCACGTCAAGTTCCTCATCACACCATCTGTGAGGGAATTACTACACCACGTGAGGTCCCTCATAACACCATCTGTGAGGGAATTACTACACCACGTCAGGCCCCCCATAACACCATCTATGAGGGAATTACTACACCACGTGAGGCCCCTCATAACACCATCTGTGAGGGAGTTACTACACCACGTGAGGCCCCTCATAACACCATCTGTGAGGTAATTACTACACCTCGTGAGGTCCCTCACAACACCATCTGTGAGGGAATTACTACACCACGTGAGGCCCCTCATAACACCATCTGAGGGAACTACTACACCACGTGAGTTCCTCCTTACACCATCTGGGAGGGAGTTACTACACTACGAGTTTGCTGTTCAACACCTACATTAATCTGTATGTTCACTGTATGTTCCTTTACCTTTCTCTAATGAAGGCTTTTGTTAAACCACCAATGTATGTAATAAGTCATTTATGTCCAATGTATATTTTCAGCCTTCGGGCTGCAGAACTTTTCAATAAACCGTTAATTATTATTATTATTATTATTATTATTATTATTATTATTATTATTATTATTATTATTATTACAGGAGTGATTAACCCCCTCTTTCCTATACCGTGTGGACATAGCGAGAAGGAAGCCAAGTAGACTGTCCGTCTTCCGTGCAGTGTCTATGCCCGTCACACCTCTCACATTGTCATGAACAGGGTGGAAACTGGCAGTTAGCAGTTACACATGACGTAACAGGGAACCCTCGTGATTGGCTTAGGTCTCTTGTGCTAGTCAAGGCTGTGGCTTCCGACAGGCTGGTCGGCAGAGAGTGACAGGAGGTCGAGGTGTGAACTTCATTGGAGGCGAGATTATACCCTCCCCGGCAGAGTGTGTGTTAGAGCGTGGATTATACCAGACCAAGAAGCTTGTTGGAGGAAGTCTCGTGTGGGGGACTGGCAAGGAATAAAGGTATAGTGCACTTGTAGGTCGCTAGTTGTTTGTGTGGCTGGTTAAGGAGGGGGCGGAGTACTCACACCCTTCAGTGAAGAGCTACCGTCGGCAATGGCTGAATTGTTTACCCAGTTAGATATTTATAAGTCATTGTACTTCGGTATTGTCTTTGGTTGCATCATGTTATCTGGCTAGGGCAGATTACGTTATGAGTTATCTTTGTATGAATGTTGTCAGTATAGTATGTCATGTTATGCGGTGTAACGAGTTCTCTTTATTTTGTGAGCATAGTAAGTTAGGTTAGGTTGTATTGTCTGAATATATTATGTTTGTCATGCCAGGTGGCGAGTTATGTTTTTTTGTGTTTTCTAGTTATGCCATGTTAGTTGGTTGCTCTGTTTTGTTATGTAAGATGGCATAATCTATACAACTTGGGTGATATTACATACTTATAGCGTTGTGAATTGGAATTCTTCGTTATTATTTTGATATATTTACACATTGCTTATTGTGATCCTGAAATTATATAGATATTTAAAGTTGAATTTGGAAGAACCCGGGACCTATGACTGTGACTCCCAAGCCTTTTCCATTTTTATCACCAAGACGTTCCCTCGGGTAGTACCTTGCCAGTGATATTTGAAAGAAAAGTACAAGTGTGTCCCATGTGCCTCCGTAGTTTACTGATACAGCACACAGGAGGCAGCATGAGGGCTCCCAGGTAGCTGATTTCTGTTTATATCAACTGGGAATTTATACGAAAACTACATACATACATACATACATACATACATAAATACCTATACACTCATACAAATTATTGGTGAGGAATGCCACTTAACGCAGCGGGTCACACACTACAGCGTCCCATTAATCAAATCTAAAGGTGATGTAGTACGTAAGTGAACGTGGTACTCTAGCACACAACTCAGAAAGAGAGGGGGTGGATTGTTTATTTACTCTTTATCTCCTCTCTCCCAGGTAGCCAAGGCGACGGAGTGACCACAGTGAGGACAACAGGCTAGCATGGCGGGTCATGACACACCTAGTCCCACACACCACTCATAAAGGTACCCTAATGATGTAATGTTGTGGTGGTAGTGGAGCTCTGGTAGTATGAAGGTGGAAGAAGGTAATCGTTGGTTTGTTGCTGTCGTGGTTCGTGGTAGTTACTGAGGTAGTTAATAGTACTGGTTATGGTAGGCATCGTAGAAGTAATTTGAGAGAATGATAATTATATGAGTAGCCAGAGCAATTGGAGGAGTAGTAGTAGTAGTAACGGTAGTAGTAACAGAAGTAGTAGTAGTAGTAGTAGTTGTGATACTCCAAGACTTTTACTTCCTAGAACACTGATACCTGTACTCCTGGACGATGGCCACTACATGTAACAAAGCTAACAAGGTCTTAAGAGTCGTTAGTGCCAAGTTATATTATGAAAGAGTATCCAACCCAACATGAACGGAACGACTGTGTGTGTGTGTGTGTGTGTGTGTGTGTGTCCTTCTTCCACACATCACAAAACGCTAGGAGGATGAGGAGGAGGATGAGGATGTGGAGGAAGGAAGAAGAAATAGACGCACTAGACCAGGGGTTCTCAACCAGGGGGGAATTCAGGTTTTCAGGGGGGGGGGGGGAACTGATTCGGGAGCAAGAGATATGTTCGATGAGAAATCAATCACAGAATTTTGGCCCTTGATGTGCGATTCCTACCCAAAAGTGGCAGAAAGAGCTATCCGTGCATTGCTTCCGTTTGTGTCGACATATCTTTGTGAGTCAGGCTTTTCAACTCTGTTGCAAATTAAAACGAAGCAACGTAGTAGATTAGAGGTAGAAAATGACCTGCGTTGTGCCCTTTCAATCACTCCTCCGCGTATCCCAGAATTGGCGAAGAAAAAACAATCACAGGTTTCTCATTGACTGTAATCTTCATCTGAATAAAATTAATTACAAATTTACAATATCCTGGTATTCTATTGAACTTTTTGTTTATTGCATTATGCTTCAGTTTGGTCTGTTAAGTAATTCATTATAAATAAATAAAAAATATTTTACTTTTATTCAAGTTTTATAAATCCATCAACATTTTCAATTGGCATTTAATTTGTAAAACTCCACTATAAAAATAATCCATGTAAAATTGTAAATGTAGCCTACATGTACTAATATGGAAAAAATAAAGGATTTTCAGTATTATATTCATATTATTTGGAATGCACTTTTTGAGGCAGACAATCTTGGAAAGGACGGGGGAATGACATTCTGACATGTGGTGAAAGGGGTGCATGGGGCAAACAAGGTTGAGAACCACTGCACTAGAAGGTGAGGATATTTGTCCTCGTCACTCTCGTTTTTTGTCTTGAGATCTAAAGGTCTTCTCTTCTACCTGTACACTCTGTCATGTTCTCTTTGTGTCTTTATCTCTCTTATCTTTTTTTCTTAAGTCTGTATCCATATATTAGGTCATCTTCTTACTCCTCTCTCTCTCTCTCTCTCTCTCTCTCTCCTCAGTAAATATTTATCGTTCATCTACACATTCTTTATCAATTCTTCTCACTCTCACTGATGGAGATTAAAATAAATAAATATATTGATCCTGGCGCCGCGGTGTGTGTCTCGTAATTTTTTGGTGTTCTGGCATATTACATTTTCTCTACTTTTCATTTTATTGGTAATCATTTTCTACAATATTCCAGTAATGTGTTATAAGTTTCCCCATGGTGCGTCTGTTTCGAAACTTCCTAACCTAAATATCCCTCCACCAATACCTCCACCACACATCCTTACATACAGTACACACAGTGGCTGCCTGAACCACACCATCTCTTCCTCAATACTTTACTTCATACTAAAGAGACAGGTAGAGATCATCCACCATCTCATAAAATCTTAAGTTTCTCATTAACTTTTCACTCTCATTCCAGGGAGACTTTATTATATTTGCTTCTTTATGTTTTTCCCTTTTCCCTCTCTCTCCTGCACACTCCTCCTCCCATACCACTGAGATAACGACCATAGGACAGGTGTTTATTGTTACCTTGGCCCTTAAAGTGAAGGCACAGTGATGATATTTCTATTAAACCTGACACACAAGCTGCTCCTTGCTACACCACACGCCCTGAATATTTACCAGACAAACACATACGTTACACTTGTTGCATTTGTTTTGTTCCCCAATTAATGATGAGAGTATAACATAGTATAAAAGTGTTTATATATTACACCTGACTGCTCCTTCACACACACAGTGGAGGTTGAGAAGTGGGGTGGTGAGGAGTGAGGGATGCCGGGTGGTGAGGAGGAGTGAGGGATGCCGGGTGGTGAGGAGGAGTGAGGGATGCCGGGTGGTGAGGAGGAGTGAGGGATGCCGGGTGGTGAGGAGGAGTGAGGGATGCCGGGTGGTGAGGAGGAGTGAAGGGTGGAGTGGGGAGTAGGGGTGGAGTGAGGTAGGATGGAGAGGGAGGGTATACACTTATAACGGGACTTATTTTCATGGTTTAAATAATTCACTTTTACTTTCATTTCACTTTTAATTACGATGAATAAATTCAGGTCGTCTTTTTATCCTTATATTTAAAAAAAAATATGAATTATATTATGGGTGATTAATTAATTATATCCCAAAAAAGAAATCCTAGAGCACCTGAAAATTAGTGACCCCAGCATATTTCACCTGAATATTAACCACCCTAACGCTACATGGGGGTTAGGTTAGGTTAGGTTGCGTTAGATGAGGTTAGTTTTAGTTAGCATTAGGGTGTGAAACTTCATGGTGTAATAAGCTTGGGTGTCGAAGCTTCAAATGACTCGAAATCCTTTGTGCCACTGAGTTCTTGCCAAAGCACACCTGTGACTGTGTAGACGTACTGTATATTATTGAACCTTTGTCAAGAAAATGGTCCACAAAACGTAAGACAAGTTTGGTAATAGACACTATCGGATAATTCTGCCAACACTTCTGGACGTAGTGCGTAGATATGCCATCTTTCTACCACCCTAATGCCGCTGTTCCTCCCACAAATCAATAATAGGTGAGGGGCTGGTGGAGGCGAGGGGCTGGTGGTGCCGCCCCTTCAGCGCTCCATTACCTCGTCCTAGCCCAGGTTAGGCGTAAGACCTACCCCTACCCCCTCTCCCCCACCAACCCATAAGAGACACGTCTTTATACTTCTCTGGAATCATTGTTCAAGGGTGAGGTCTATACTATATATACTGACACCCTGACACCTTCCTTGCCCGTCGAGATAAGGAACCATCTTAGCCCTACATATGCTGGTCAGTAAAATGTATAAATAATACCAACCCGTCTATACACCTCACACACGGAGTAAATATATACCTGACGGACAAAACGAGAAACCTAAACAACACAGAGAGACTTTAGACAAATAGTGAAACAATATATCTGGCTGAAGCTACGATACACAGCCTCGTATAGTAAGAAAAAGATAGACATTCACGTATGTTATGGAACAAGAAAAGTTGTTTGTAAGATATGTTTAGCACTGTCGACTTAATGAAGATGAGAGTATGACAGTAACTGATAATGAATATGAGACTTGGGAGATAAGGACCAGGAAACATGACAACAAGTACACCCAGTAACACGACACAAAGGAACAAAGACATCAGGTGGGAAGAATAATGCCGAGCTCAGAGTTTTATCCAGGGTATGGTTGGTGGTGCACTGGGGGAGGGGAGGATGGTGCACAAAGGGAAAGGTTGGTGCACTGCGGGAGGTTGGTGGTACATGAAGGGAAGGCATCGTAGCTTACCTACAGTACAGTATGTATCTTAGAAGGCAGGAAGATATTTGACGAGGTTAATCATTGGATATTATTTGCCATACTGTTAGACACAATGTTGCCAACTTACCTTGGTGGAATCTTGAAGGATTTAATATTATCTACTGGGTAACACTATTGTGGTAACAACACTGTATTGGGGTAACACTATTGTGGTAACAACACTGTATTGGGGTAACACTGTATTGTGGTAACACTGTATTGGGGTAACACTGTATTGTGGTAACAGTGTATTGGGGTAACACTGTTTTGTAGAAATATTATAGTGAGGTAAAACTGATCAAGACAGAATCCTCTCACCTTACCTTACCTATACCATGTTAATAGTGATGAGTTAAGCTCGACCATAAGTAGGGACAGGTGTCACTGTTAGTGCAATACATGTTTGTCAACTTAAGCTGCGGTGGTAAGTGCTTTCTCGTCTCGTGTCTTGCAGCATCTGAATAACAATAACAACTCACGACAGACTAACAGCAGGAAGATGAGAGTAATATGAAGAAGCAAGTTAGGAAACTCTGGGACGCTGACATATCTTAATATATTTTTTTTTTACTGCTTTAGCGTAAATGGACAGCTGATACGCAGGCGTCAAAGATGTCAATCATTTTCACTCTATGATTGACGCCCCGCCACTATATTTTCATCATAATTTTCAACCGCAAGAATCACTGAAAGATGTACTCAAAAATATACTCACCCTGTCATACTGTTCGTGAGTCAAGTTTAGGAATAGAATTGTGATGTTGGTGATATGACGTCATGTTTTGGTAAGGTAACACTCGCTGAACATGACAGGTAAACATAATAATTTGTTTTTCACAATAAGCATACTTACGACGAGTAACTTTTGTCGAGAGCGTTGGGAAGCCCGTCAGATGTGTGTGTCTGTCTCTCTCTGTCTGTCTGTGTCTGTCTGTCTGTCCGTCCACAACATATATGTAACGTGAAAAACTCTACCTTAGAATACAAAAAGGCTAGAGTTGTTAAGAACATTACATACATACATACATACATACATACAGTACATACCCTCTCCGCGCCTCGCCATCACGCAGACTACCCGTATCTATTACCTCTTTATTTACGTTACAAAAACACGATAAACTTTCCCAACCCAACGTGATGTTCAGGAACTGTTTCGTTGCGTGGTCTGATATTCAACTCGTAAGAGCTATACACCTTTCTGCTCCGGTGAATTCCATTTCCGGGAGTAATAACATTCGTGTGTGTGTGTGTGTGTGTGTGTGTGTGTAGTAATAATAAATAAT